GTGTGTAAGAAAAATCAAAATAAAGTTTACATTATTATTATTATTATTATTATTGTATTTTGTCCTTGTGGTCAATAAACAATATTTTACCTAAACATCTATAGTCTGTGGTTAACAATAATATAGGGAGTAATTTCCTACAGCTTATTCTCTGAATGAGTTGAACACTTTAGGGATTTACTACTGTGATTTTAAAGGATTACAAACTTCTTTACATGTCAATCTTTATTTTAAGAAAACAAAATACAATTATTTTTCCAAAAAATATTTGTTGCAGTAAAATACCTAGTTTTACTAGTTGATTCTTTTTTTAAAGTGCCTATCGCCCTTCTGGCAATATTCACAGTATTGATTCTACAAGGGGTAAGATGTTGGAAAAAAAACAACTAACAAACAAAAATTATAGTTTGAGTGCGGCTTCTTGAAGTCATAAAGGTTTTTCTATGCCGTATGCTAATGCTGTGACGTATGAGGAGTAATTATTTATTTTACCACAATTGTAAATTTTCTCGCGCGCTGATTGGTTAAAAAACGTCGTAAATAAGAGGCCATACCAACAAATGGCGTCATGCAAGATTTAGTGCAGTCTATTTCCTAGAGTTTTGTGAGTTTTGTAGTAAAAAACAAATTTACGATGGTTTAGCGGGGTATGTCCTCTTATTTACCACGATATGACGCCAAACGTTGGTCAAAATTAGTTATGGACCCACTCGGCTTACGCCTCGTGAGTCCATAACATTTTGACCAACTTTTGACGTCATATCGTGGTAAATAAGAGGACATACCACGCTAAACCATCGTAAATTTGTTAAATATACAAAACCTTACTGGCACAGATAAATTAAATTTGAAATACGTCATTGTTATTCCTATTGATCTTATAGAAATTATGGCAAGCTAGTTTTCACATAGAAGCCGGTGTTTAGAATTACAAGGAACAACAAATAACCATAAATCCTCCTCATACGTCACAGCATTAGCACATGACATGGAAAAACCTTTATAACTTTAAGAAGCCGCACTCAAACTATGAAATTTTTTCAGGTTATTGGACATCTTACCCCATGTAGAATCAATACTGAGGATATTGTCAGAACGTGATAGACACTTTAAAGTGCTTATAAGCCTTACAGGATGCCCTCATAAAATATATAAGAATGGGTCCAAGGGTGTTTCCATGGCAGCACTTTAACCAACATAAGTTTCAGCCATTTTGGGATCATTCTCACAGAGATATTTTCAATAATTTTATGATGATTGCACTTTTCACTAGGTCACTTAAGTGACGTTATCATTTTGTAATATTTCTAGGTTGAATATCTCGGTAACAAAAGAGATAGCAAAACGAAAGTAGGGGCCATTATTAGGGCTTTCAAATCAAGAATGCATCCTGGAAGGCTTATGAGTACTTTAAACAGTTTTGCTCTAAGGTTCATTTTTAAAATAACTTTCTTTTTGTGTAGTTCCAGAATATATCCATACCCCACATACGAAAATTGGAAATTCTAGTGGGGAGGGGGTTCAGAGAAACAACAAAATTACAGAGTTTGTGTGGAAGAAAATTGAAAGTTCCTGGGGGTACGAGGGTCCTTTTACCAATTCCATTCCTTGATGGGGGTATGGATATTTTCTGGGACTATAAACATTGATTTATTCAATATGAAAAGTACGCTACAAAAGCACTATAAATTTGTGATACTGAAAATGATATAAAAATATAGGTTTGTTGCTTGTGTTTATAAAAAACTATGAATGCAGTCAGCTGTTCTTAGAAAAAATGTTAGCCGATCAGAATCAAGAAAATTTGCAAAACTGAGGTGCCATTTTTCTTTTTGAAATTATGGATTTCCAGGCCATCAAATGAAAAAGAATAACATTTCTAAGAGGTTGATAACAGGGACAAAATAACTGTGTTTTATATATTTTTGAAATGGTGGGTACGTCTTTATTGTTCGTTTGTCACTTTTCCCAGGCTTTATGACACCTAAGTTTTGCAGTGAAGTCAATTCTATGTCACTATTTCAGATCAGCTGGAGATACCTCACACATATTCTATACCCAATGGACTAGAGGCAGCTGCTCAAGGAACTACACATTGTACTTATTATATCCACTACATTTTTCAATCTATGCCCCCACCACTTTTAAGGCATGATAACACAAGCAATTTTCTCTGCAATTTGTCTCACAATGGCTTTGGGACACAAGTTGCATAGAACATTGCAGTGAGCAACCTGCAACGCAATTTGGAAAATGTTGCAAGGCAAGTTACAGAGCAATGCCATAGAATAGGATTTGTTTCTATGTTGGCAATGATTGCAAATGAGATGCACCATATCATCATTCTTGCACCTTGTGTTGCAACTCTGTTGCAGGGGTTGCAGGGCAGGTTGCAGAGAAAATTCCTCAGTTTATATGCACCTTTAGCACGACTTGTCTAGTATATTTTCTAATCTAAGCCTATACATGTATGCATCACTGTTAGCATTTGTTTGTGTAGAGGGAAAGGACCTTCAAATGTCAAACAATAAAACAAATATATTGTGTTACTGCCTCTTTTCAATGTTTTTATGATCCAATAGGTCCTTTCAGTCGATGTGAAAAATTTGCTAGCCTTCAGCATTAAGACTGCCATGCATAGGAGACCTCTCCATATTGACTTTAGTTATATCATAATGTTGTGGTTACTTGTATTTTAGTTGCATTGTTCTCATACTGCGTCAGGGATGCAGTTTTGGAAAATGTCTTCATCACCATTATTATTATTATCATCACCATCATCACTAATATTACCACCAACATCATCAACAACACCACCACCACCATCATCACCATCATAACCACCACCATCATCATCAACATCATCATTATCATCAACATCAATATCATCAACAACAACATCACCACCACCACCATAATCATCATCA